TTTGGACTAGTTCGGAATCAAAAATATTACCTTTGCAAAGATTACTAAACCCGTTTTCTCTGCGCTGATGCCAGGCCACACTTCACACACAGAAATTCCATCACAAAATGGTAGAGACTGTAATTTCCCTATAAAAAGTATAAAACAAGTTCTGAGAAAAAACTCCCGTCATTAATTGCATTCTTTGTAAGATTGCGTTTTAAAAGTGCTTGTATAAAAAGCTGTTATTGCATTTATTTTTTTTTTCGATTTCAAAAGATATTGCCGCAATCAACAAATTCACGCCCATAATTACAAATCTGTTTTATTGATTGCTTGGTAATTATAAAATTTAAATGGTTGAATGCTCGAAGAAAATTGAATGCATAAAGTGAAAATCGCTATTCTTGCTGAAAGTGTAGGAAACAATATTGAATTTGAATTAAGCCGACGGCGCACTTCTAAGTGCTTATTAACAGCTATAAAGAAAACATTAATTAAGTAATTATACAAGCCTCTGATAAATGCGCAATTCAAAGTCAAATACACGCAAGTGGAACTTTTATTTAGTAAAACAAAAAATTTTGTCATAAAAACTGAACTTGTAAACGGGCGCCTGCGCAATTGTTTTTTTTAGTAAAAGCACTGTCGCACTGAGAAATCAAACTTCTATTTGCTCAACTCATGCAAGGCAGCGGTCATCAACATCAGTGGCATGACAGACTGCATTTGTCAAGAAAATGTGTTTATACATACATATGTACATATGTATGATGTACGTAAGTTGTGTATGCAAATACCCAGCAAAAACTTTTCATTTTTTGGGAAGTACTTATTTTCGTATCAGTGGAGTAACGCATTACAAGTCGCCTCAAGACAATTTTCGCTGAACTTTTCGTTTAGAGGAAGCCATTGGGCCTCATGCATAAAAAGTGAGCTTAAGCTCCGACTCGTTTTTCAGTACAAATTCTTGAGCTTGAGCTCACCCTTTCAGTGCAAAAATTGAGTCTGAGCTTAAGCTCACTTTTTATGCATAAGGCCCATTATTTTTACATGTGCATGTCATTGGAAGTAATCGAATTAATGTAAAATTTCTTGCCATTGCATTACATGTAATGGAATGGATAAGCGAAAATTGTTTCGAGGCCACTTTTATTGCATTACTCCATTGATACAAAAATAAGTGCTTCCCAAAAAATGAAAAGTTTTTGCTGGGTAGAGTTATATGTATGTATGTTATGTACACACATTTGTACAAATATGAATAGATCACTAAATGTTAGGCGCATTAAGTTACGTATCTCGAAAATGGAGTCGCTTTCAAAATTGCGTCGCTTTACGTGCCACTTCTTCTTCTTGTTTTACAAACAAATTGCATGCTTTTAGTCAAATCATTGTCATCTCGTCATTGTTAGCCATACATATAAAAGCTGTGCTGTCGCAATTGTCACAGCCGAACACTTTTTCTTTCATTCCTTGTTTACAGCATAAACCACGAGAAAAGGTCAAAATATTTGAAAAGTTGACAACTAATTAATGTTGTTTTGGCCGACGTTCTTTCAAGGTTCGAGCGCAAAGGTTGGACATTTGAGGAGGCAAAATGTTGCGTATACGCCGAGTTGGCACGTGCGCTTTTTGCACTCCTGCTGTGTGGGCTTAGGAAGACGTTCTTGTCCAATTAAGGTGTAAACATGGTTTATAGTTAATGCTTGTTTTTGTAAATTATAATACTTAATCGAAGGCAAAGATGTGTTCATGAATGTGAATGAGGCCAATTGTTTAGGCTTTTTCGGAACGTGCTTCTAAACGACATTTTTGAATAGTTTGTACGAATAACCGTTTGTCCCATTCGCTGTCTATTTAAGACGTCCAAGAGAAAATTTTTAGTCTCTTAAGGCCAGTATGCAGCTCTCAAGAAAACGGCAAACCGTAGTAGAAAGCATAGCAAATTTCTTAAGAACTGCTTACTGCCTTAAGGACAAAAGCAAATTTCTTAGCCATTTCTTGCACGTCATTTTATATGGAGTTTTTGTTTTTCTTGTGAGCTGTATACTGGCCTTTAGTAATCACTAATATGCTTTTTGCTACCCAGATATGGCTGCTTTTTTCAGCATAAAAGATATTAGATAAACTTCGAAAGCAATATAGGTAATTTTTCTCAATTTTTTTTTATTTATTTATGTATTTATTTAGTTATATGTAACAAATGCTTATTTACAGACTATGAAGAAAATATGAAATCTTAAGCCAAGAGTATTTAATGCAAAACGAAAAAAATAATTTTGTATTTCATAAATAAAATTTTGCTTAGAAGTAACTACAAAATTCACTTAAAAAAGCCCAAATTCAGATTTAGAAGAACATACGTAAAAGGTTATGGAATTTTAGAATGAATTAAGTTCCCTTAAGGCTCTATAATTAGGCGCATTGGTAGCATAACTACCTCTTATCGAAGGGCGAAGCGTAAGAACACCTCTTTAACATGCTTCAGTCTTTTAATATGGCAATCGAAGTAAGGTATCCAAATGAACACCGCATATTCTAGTTCAGAACGAACTAGGGACGTAAACAAAAGCGTCAAAGTATACGGGTTACTAAAGTCAGAGCTAAACCGGCGTATGTAAGCAAGCAAGGCATAGGACTTTGCGATGGTACTATCGATATGACTTAGAAATAAAAACTTTAGGTCGAAAATGAAGAGACTTGAGCTGCTTATCGAATAGGAAGTTACGATATGGGAACAGGATTTTGAGAAAGACACGTAAAAACATTTGTTTATATTAAGCCGTAGATCGTTTTATTTTTGGCACCACGAGGTTACGTTGTTAATACCAGTCTGGATCTTAATCGAATCAAACTGACTCCGAATAAATAGTAAAATAAATTTTCAAGTCTTCCCCATATAAAGCAAAATTAGAATAGGTAAAGAATTTGCAAATATCATTCATGAAAATAGCAAAAAGCTACGGTCCCAGGATACTGCCTTGGGCAACACCGGAAGAAGCTACAAAAGAATTTGAGACATATTTGTAGCAAAAATTCAGTGTTCATACTTACATACTAAAATTAACTTTTTGTCCTTCGTAGTTGATAAAGAGAACTTCAAACCCAAAAACGGCGAGTTTCGTTTTCGTAAAAAAAGAAACAATATCTGCTCAGCAGGCCGTCAAAGTCGTTTTTAGTGAGCAATTTTGTCGAAGTTTTGAAGGTGTTTTAAATAACTAAAATAAAAAGACATTCGTTTCAAAAAAACATAGAACAAATATTGATAGTGCTTAATTGTTTAAGAGAAATATTTTTTCGATTTTTTTTTTAGAAAAAAATACATGACAACACCTTTAATATTTTTTTGGTCTTAAAAATTAAATTTAAAAGAGCTTTTAAAATATTGGCCGTGTTTATGGACTATCAATAGCGTGTACAATTAAGTGTTGTGAGTTTAATTCGTCAATTTTATGCTGCGATTTCTGAGATATATTTTTTTATTTTATAATGAATTACTTACTATTTAGAGGAGAGAACTCAGTAAAGACAGGAAACTAAAGGCTGTTTAGAATTTTGTTACTTGTAACTTTTCAGCAGTTAAATTAAGAAATTTAATTTAATTTAATTTAATGAATCGAGGTGAGTTCCGGTGAGGTGAGTTTATACAAGTTAAGGTGTGTAAGGGTAAGCTGAGCTGAGGTGAGGTGAGTGGATGTGAGATGAGGAGAATTTAGGTGAAATATCATTAGTTGGGGTAAGTTCAGTTGAGTTGAGTTGAAAAGAGGTTAGGTTAATTGAGCTGAGATGAAATAAGGTGAGTTAGAGTGAGGTGAGCTAGAAATAATTGAGGTGAATTTAGAGGAGTTGATGTGTAGTTAGTTGAGGTGAGATCAGGAGAGCTAAGATGATTTGAAGTGAGCTGTGGTGAGTTGATGTGAAATGCTTTGTACAACATAACATAGCTTTACAATAAACCATAACATAACATAGCAAAACTCAACAAACATAACATAGTGTTACATAACATTACAATATGCTATCAGTTTAAAAACAAAGTAAAGAAACATGAAGCAATTTTCCCAAATTAACTTTTGCTGTAAGAAATTGCAGCGTATTAGGCAAAGTTTCGATAACTATTGAATTACTAGTTTATGAAATAACACAAAAATAAAGACGATTCAAGTAATTATTAACTTGTTTAATGGGTCAACTTAGTTTCTACCCACTTGCGTATGTACATATGTATGTATGTATGTGTTTATTTATACAAAGCCCTCATACAAACATAAATAAATGTTAAAACAACGTAGGATTTTGAATATTTAAATCATTCAACACCAAAACTGTGGAGCTAAATCGAGCATTGTAGTATATTTTGCAATAAAATAGGCACGCATTTCATCTATTTTTGGGTCTATAACATGTGAACATGTACGCATGCGCGTTAGACCTAATTCCGTTAGCGCATCCAAATATGTAAGTCCAGCAAATAAATTGCCACTGGCTATGTATGGTGTGGGTGGTCAGTTCACGGTTAAATTACATATAAGTATACATATGTATGTACAGACAAACATGCCTATTTAGTCATCAACAAACCACAGAGAGTTAAAAGCATTCGAGCAATATATAGGCAGTGTGAAAAAAGTGAAATAATGGAATAACTGCGCAACACATTTTCTTTTTGCAATAAAACGTTGTGAACTATTTACATTATTAAGTACATACGTTGTGGATAAACTTCAAAGTTATTGAAAGTAAAACGTCGCACTAACGTTGGTAGCAACATCAGTAATGACAACCAACACAAATGCAATTGATATATATATGTACCTATAAAGGTACGTACTTACATGTGTGCTTATAGGTATATAAACGACAATTTTTCGTTGTTATTTTTCCACCAATTTTTGGCAAACAATCAGTTCATTTGAAG